CATAAACTGATCTCAGCAGCTACATTCCCTGCAGCTCTCTATAGAACATAAACTGATCTCAGCAGCTACATTCCCTGCAGCTCTCCATAGAACATAAACTGATCTCAGCAGCTACATTCCCTGCAGCTCTCCATAGAACATAAACTGAACTCAGCAGCTACATTCCCTGCAGCTCTCTATAGAACATAAACTGAACTCAGCAGCTGCATTCCCTGCAGCTCTCCATAGAACATAAACTGAACTCAGCAGCTGCATTCCCTGCAGCTCTCCATAGAGCATAAACTGAACTCAGCAGCTGCATTCCCTGCAGCTCTCTATAAAACATAAACTGAACTCAGCAGCTTTATCTCCTGCAGCTCTCCATAGAACATAAACTGAACTCAGCAGCTACATTCCCTGCAGCTCTCCATGGAACATAAACTGAACTCAGCAGCTGCATTTCCTGCAGCTCTCTATAGAACATAAACTGAACTCAGCAGCTACATTTCCGCACACAGCTCTCTATAGAACATAAACTGAACTCAGCGGCTACATTCCTGCAGCTCTCCTATAGAACATAAACTGAACTCAGCAGCTGCATTCACACCGGCTCTCTATAGAACATAAACTAAAGACACTCAGCAGCTGCATTCTGCCACGGCTCTCCATAAGAACATAAACTGAACTCAGCAGCTACATTCCCTGCAGCTCTCTATAAAACATAAACTGAACTCAGCAGCTGCATTCCCTGCAGCTCTCTATAAAACATAAACTGAACTCAGCGGCTGAATTCCCTGCAGCTCTCCATAGAACATAAACTGAACTCAGCAGCTCCATTTCCTGCAGATCTCCATGGAACATAAACTGAACTCAGCAGCTGCATTCCCTGCAGCTCTCTATAGAACATAAACTGAACTCAGCAGCTACATTCCCTGCAGCTCTCTATAGAACATAAACTGAACTCAGCAGCTACATTCCCTGCAGCTCTCTATAGAACATAAACTGAACTCAGCAGCTGAATTCCCTGCAGCTCTCCATAGAACATAAACTGAACTCAGCAGCTGCATTCCCTGCAGCTCTCCATAGAACATAAACTGAACTCAGCAGCTGCATTCCCTGCAGCTCTCCATAGAACATTAACTGAACTCAGCAGCTGCATTCCCTGCAGCTCTCCATAGAACATAAACTGAACTCAGCAGCTGCATTCCCTGCAGCTCTCTATAAAACATAAACTGAACTCAGCAGCTCCATTTCCTGCAGCTCTCCATAGAACATAAACTGAACTCAGCAGCTGCATTTCACCGCAGCTCTCCATAGAACATAAACCCCAGACTCAGCGGCTGCGTTTTCACAGCTCTCCATAGAACATAAACTGAACTCAGCGGCTACATTTCCCTGCAGCTCTCTATAGAACATAAAGCTGAACTCAGCGGCTACGTTCCTGCAGCTCTCCATGGGGCGCAGCTGAACTCAGCAGCTACGTGCCTGCAGCTCTCTATAGAACATAAACTGAACTCAGCAGCTGCATTTTGCAGCTCTCCATAGGAACATAAACTGAACTCCAGCGGCTACATTTCCACCCACAGCTCTCTATAGAACATAAACTGAACTCAGCAGCACACATTCCTGCAGCTCTCCTATAAAACATAAACTGAACTCTCCCGGCGGCATTCCCTGCAGCTCTCCATAGAACATAAACTGAACTCAGCAGCTGCATTCCCTGCAGCTCTCCATAGAACATAAACTGAACTCAGCAGCTACATTCCCTGCAGCTCTCTATAAAACATAAACTGAACTCAGCAGCTTTATCTCCTGCAGCTCTCTATAGAACATAAACTGAACTCAGCAGCTGAATTCCCTGCAGCTCTCTATAGAACATAAACTGAACTCAGCAGCTCCATTCCCTGCAGCTCTCCATAGAACATAAACTGAACTCAGCAGCTGCATTCCCTGCAGCTCTCTATAGAACATAAACTGAACTCAGCAGCTGCATTCCCTGCAGCTCTCCATAGAACATAAACTGAACTCAGCAGCTGAATTCCCTGCAGCTCTCTATAGAACATAAACTGAACTCAGCAGCTGCATTCCCTGCAGCTCTCCATAGAACATAAACTGAACTCAGCAGCTTTATCTCCTGCAGCTCTCTATAGAACATAAACTGAACTCAGCAGCTGCATTCCCTGCAGCTCTCCATAGAACATAAACTGAACTCAGCAGCTGCATTCCCTGCAGCTCTCCATAGAACATAAACTGAACTCAGCAGCTACATTCCCTGCAGCTCTCTATAGAACATAAACTGAACTCAGCAGCTGCATTCCCTGCAGCTCTCTATAGAACATAAACTGAACTCAGCAGCTGCATTCCCACCGCGGCTCTCTATAGAACTTATAAACTGAACTCAGCAGCTGCATTTCTGCAGCTCTCCATAGAACATAAACTGAACTCAGCAGCTTTATCTCCTGCCCAGCTCTCTATAGAACATAAACTGAACTCAGCAGCTGCATTTCCTGCAGCTCTCCATAGAACATAATCTGAACTCAGCAGCTGCATTTCCTGCAGCTCTCCATAGAACATAAACTGAACTCAGCAGCTCCATTTCCTGCAGCTCTCCATAGAACATAAACTGAACTCAGCAGCTACATTCCCTGCAGCTCTCCATAGAACATAAACTGAACTCAGCAGCTACATTCCCTGCAGCTCTCCATAGAACATAAACTGATCTCAGCAGCTACATTCCCTGCAGCTCTCCATAGAACATAAACTGAACTCAGCAGCTACATTCCCTGCAGCTCTTCATAGAACATAAACTGAACTCAGCAGCTCCATTTCCTGCAGCTCTCTATAGAACATAAACTGATCTCAGCAGCTGCATTCCCTGCAGCTCTCTATAGAACATAAACTGATCTCAGCAGCTACATTCCCTGCAGCTCTCTATAGAACATAAACTGATCTCAGCAGCTACATTCCCTGCAGCTCTCCATAGAACATAAACTGATCTCAGCAGCTACATTCCCTGCAGCTCTCCATAGAACATAAACTGAACTCAGCAGCTACATTCCCTGCAGCTCTCCATAGAACATAAACTGAACTCAGCAGCTGCATTCCCTGCAGCTCTCCATAGAGCATAAACTGAACTCAGCAGCTGCATTCCCTGCAGCTCTCTATAAAACATAAACTGAACTCAGCAGCTTTATCTCCTGCAGCTCTCCATAGAACATAAACTGAACTCAGCAGCTACATTCCCTGCAGCTCTCCATAGAACATAAACTTAACTCAGCAGCTGCATTCCCTGCAGCTCTCCATAGAACATAAACTGAACTCAGCAGCTGCATTCCCTGCAGCTCTCTATAGAACATAAACTGAACTCAGCAGCTGCATTCCCTGCAGCTCTCCATAGAACATAAACTGAACTCAGCAGCTGCATTCCCTGCAGCTCTCCATAGAACATAAACTGAACTCAGCAGCTGCATTCCCTGCAGCTCTCCATAGAACATAAACTGAACTCAGCAGCTGCATTCCCTGCAGCTCTCCATAGAACATAAACTGAACTCAGCAGCTGCATTCCCTGCAGCTCTCTGCCAGAACATAAACTGAACTCAGCTGGCTGCGTGCCTGCAGCTTTCTCCAGCAGAGGAACAAACTGAACTCAGCAGCTGAACCGCCACGGCTCTCTATAGAACATAAACTGAACTCAGCAGCTACATTCCCTGCAGCTCTCTATAAAGGCAAACTGAACTCAGCGGCTGCGTGCGGCGCTCTCCCGCCAGAACCGCCAACTGGGCACCAAGCGACTGCGTACCTGCAGCTCTCCATAGAACATAAGCTGAACTCAGCTGCGTGCCTGCAGCTCTCCATAGAACATAAACTGAACTCGCGAAAGCTGCGTTCCCTGCAGCTCTCCGCAAAACAAACGGAACTCAGCAGCTTTATCTCCGCGGCTCTCCTTAGAACATAATCTGAACTCAGCAGCTGCATTCCCTGCAGCTCTCCATAGAACATAAACTGAACTCAGCAGCTCCATTCCCTGCAGCTCTCCATAGAACATAAACTGAACTCAGCAGCTGCATTCCCTGCAGCTCTCCATAGAACATAAACTGAACTCAGCAGCTGCATTCCCTGCAGCTCTCCATAGAACATTAACTGAACTCAGCAGCTGCATTCCCTGCAGCTCTCCATAGAACATAAACTGAACTCAGCAGCTGCATTCCCTGCAGCTCTCCATAAAACATAAACTGAACTCAGCAGCTCCATTTCCTGCAGCTCTCCATAGAACATAAACTGAACTCAGCAGCTCCATTCCCTGCAGCTCTCCATAGAACATAAACTGAACTCAGCAGCTGCATTCCCTGCAGCTCTCCATAGAACATAAACTGAACTCAGCAGCTGCATTCCCTGCAGCTCTCCATAGAACATTAACTGAACTCAGCAGCTGCATTCCCTGCAGCTCTCCATAGAACATAAACTGAACTCAGCAGCTCCATTTCCTGCAGCTCTCCATAGAACATAAACTGAACTCAGCAGCTACATTCCCTGCAGCTCTTCATAGAACATAAACTGAACTCAGCAGCTCCATTTCCTGCAGCTCTCTATAGAACATAAACTGATCTCAGCAGCTGCATTCCCTGCAGCTCTCTATAGAACATAAACTGATCTCAGCAGCTACATTCCCTGCAGCTCTCTATAGAACATAAACTGATCTCAGCAGCTACATTCCCTGCAGCTCTCCATAGAACATAAACTGATCTCAGCAGCTACATTCCCTGCAGCTCTCCATAGAACATAAACTGAACTCAGCAGCTACATTCCCTGCAGCTCTCCATAGAACATAAACTGAACTCAGCAGCTGCATTCCCTGCAGCTCTCCATAGAACATAAACTGAACTCAGCAGCTGCATTCCCTG